GGGAAGGGACATGAGAGAGATGGGTGGGAAGGGACATGAGAGAGATGGGTGGGAAGGGACATGAGAGAGATGGGTGGGAAGGGACATGAGAGAGATGAAGCTCACTTGGAAAGAGCTAGGAAGGATGGCCCAGGATAGAGATAGATGGAAGGAGCTTGTATGTGGCCTATACCCTGCCATGGGTGAAAGGCATTGATGATGAAGAGTTTTACGGCACTTGCAAAACAATAAGGTCATATAAGTGCCGAAGATTAGAGATGTTGCAAGAGAGCAACAAACACAAAAAAGAAGGAGGGGAGATAAAGACGATGGATTTTTTATAGGAAAGAGAGACAACCAAGATATCGTTAGATAAAATAAGACAAGATAATATACTATTAAGTTTAGTTTAGGTTTTTTAGTTTTAGTAAGAGTTTTACGGCACTTGCAAAACAATAAGGTCATATAAGTGCCGAAGATTAGAGATGTTGCAAGAGAGCAACAAACACAAAAAAGAAGGAGGGGAGATAAAGACGATGGATTTTTTATAGGAAAGAGAGACAACCAAGATATCGTTAGATAAAATAAGACAAGATAATATACTATTAAGTTTAGTTTAGGTTTTTTAGTTTTAGTAAGAGTTTTACGGCACTTGCAAAACAATAAGGTCATATAAGTGCCGAAGATTAGAGGTGTTGCAAGAGAGTAAGAAACACAAAAAAGAAGAAGGGGAGATCAAGACAATAGACGTTTGATAGGAAAGAAGAAGCTTACCACACCAGAGCACCCGCCAACCACCCACAGAGAGACAACCAAGATATCGTTAGATAAGCTAAGACAAAGATAATATACTACTAAGTTTAGCGTAAGTTTAAAAAGGTTTTACGGCACTCACAACTGCATAAGGTCATATGAGCGCCAAGGGTAGGGGAATCAGGCTTACTTTGCTCACCTCTCTAGCCTCAACAGCACAAAGTCTGCTTCAACTATCAAGGCACCCCGGAAATAGCAGTTCACAAGAGAGTGACAAACATACAAAAGAAGTAGAGGAAAAAATGACAATAGCAAAGATTAGGAAAGAAAAAGCAGTAGTTCCCTGTTGCAGTTCAGGCACAGTTATGAGCATGACATTGATGAATCAGCCCATTTACAATTCTACTGTGCATAAGAACGAGAAATGTACTCCCTTTGGGAAAGGCCTAAAGACACTTCAGTCAGTGGCACCCGTAACCACAACAACAACTACGACAATTACAACATCAACAATAACAACAACAGCAACAACAGCAACAACAACAACAACAACAGCAGCAACAACTCACCTGTTCCATGGTGGTTAGCCCCGCAGAGAGGAACAGGGTGACAACATCAACAACAACAACAACAGTAACAAGAACAACAACAGTAACAACAACAACAACAACAACAACAACAGCAACAACAACAACAGCAACAACAACAACAGCAACAACTCACCTGCTCCATGGTGCTGAGCCCGGCAGACAGGAAGAGGGAGAGGTAGCGCTCCATCTTGATGG